ATGAAATAATAGAAAGACATATGGTGTGGCGAAAAACTATTAATGTATGTATGCTCGAAAAATTAAAAAATGTTTATTATATGCACTGGGGTCCACATATTTAGTACTTAGGGGCTTAAACAGTTTTGATTCAATTTAAATAATTTTTGGCCACAAGGTGGCATACTTTAATACTATTATTCACGCAAAGTTTTATCCCGATATAGTCATTGTTGCTTGATTTGCATAGTGGAAAGTGAAAGAATTAGATGGAATTTAAAATGGTGTTATATGGGAAGTAGGCGTGGTTGTAGTCCGATTTCGCCCATTTTCGCACTATGACATAGAAACATGAAAAGAACGTTACGCACCGAATTTGGATTTTTTTGAAATCGGTTAAGCAGATCTCAAGATATGGGTTTTCACCTAAAAGTGGGCTGTGCCACGCCCACTGTCTAATTTTGAACGCGGTTCCTATAAAGTCATCTCATACCATCCCAGAGATAAAATTTAATGTCTCTGGCGTGTTTAGTGCTCGCGCTTTTAGTAGTTTTTAACAGTACCGTTATATGGGGAGTGGGCGGAGTTGCCACCCGATTTCAACTATTTTCACACCGTCAATAGAAGTGCTAAAAACATTTGCTTTCAGTGAATTTTGTTATTATAGCATTAGCGGTTTAGGAGATATGCACATTAAACCTATTAGAGGTGGGACCACGCCCACTTAAAAAAAAAAAATTTAACTGCAGATGCCCCTCCTTAATGTGATCCTGTGTACCAAATAACAGTCTTGTATCTTATTGCGGAGCTTAGTTATGGCAATTTATTTGGCGTTTTGTGGGCGTGGCAGTGGTCCGATTACGCCCATCTGCAATAACAACCGTCTCACGGTACCAAGAAACATGTCTACCAAGTTTCATAAAGATATCTCAATTTTTAAGTTAGAGCTTGCACGGACGGACGGACAGATAGTCACCCAGATTTCAACTCGTATCTTCCTCCTGATCATTTATATATATATATCTAACTCGATTAGTTTTAGGTGATACAAACAACCGTTAGGTGAACAAAACTATTATACTCTGTAGCAACAGGTTGCGAGAGTATAAAAATGTTGCGAATGAATTCAATATTCATTAAGAGTGATATAGAATTAGTTGATATAGAAAACGTCACCCAGTTCTTGATATTAGGGATATGAGGTTTAGACCAAGGTCGAGACCAATTCCATTCATATTCAGTGGTAAAACACATAATTTTTAAAAAAGCTTATCCATTTAATTGAAATATCACAAATTCTGAAAAGTACCTGACTTACCAGCACTCATATCGGCAAGCGCTGATACTCCTAAACCGGAAGTCCCTCGCTCCTCTAAATGTCGCATAGGGGGCCATAAACTATGGCTTCGAGACGGTGGTTCTTAGGATACTCCCGACAAAAGCCAGTGCGGATGACCCGCTGCCTCCAGCGGGGACGGAAGAGAAGGAGGAAAATGGAAATTGACCCTATCCTCTTGGACTCGGTAAGTACGGGGTCGGATCGTCAATTGATTAATCCGTCTTAAGTCTCGAGCGCCTGTTCAAAGAGGCTGCGGGTAACGATGATGGTGCGGAACTCGCCCTGCTAGAAAAGAGTTTAAAGAATGAAGATCCTTCAAATCCAATTCAAGCACGTAAAGGCGGCCTCCGCCGTTCTATTGCTTCGTCTAGGCAAGGACGAGGCTGACGTTGACTTTATCTAAAAACTAGCTAGTTAACTAGCAATGGCATCTCTGTATTAAAAACAAATTACCTACCGTCACTGCGAGGTTGGAGGACTGTGCTAAAGAGCGCCGGCTTTTCCGGAGCCAGGCTTCTAGGCACACCGTCTGAGGAAGCTTGAACATAAATGCAAGGGGTGAGACTTTTGGATTTTATGTGCGGTGAAAACCTTTTTATTACAGGGTGGAAGCTTGAGCAATCGCTCCCTTGACATCGGAATGGAGAGGTCTAAAAGTCCATTCCATCTCTGATTACAAATGCATTAGTTTCGGCTTGTACGCATTTCGCCCGGAGTTTAGAACCTATAGAAGTCTCAGAAATATCATTTGGAACCTGTATTGCATGAAACTTCGATCATCTCCTCCAATAGCGCCCGACAAGGATTCGATCTTATCTGCGAGTACGATTGATAAACTCTTCGAGGTTTTCAGCTATGTAAGTAGAACTACTCTTACAACGTCCTGTCCTCTAAAAACTGAGAGAGGTAAAGGAAAATTCTTTGGCGGACATCGAAACTAACAAACATCAGATCTCCGAGCATCTTGCAAGGTCCTGTCCTCTGAAAACTAAAACTAACGAAGATCAGATCTTCAAATATTACAATATTCAACAAAGCCCATCAAAGTGGCCAATAATGTTCTATGGTATGTTTGCCTAGTAGAGGGCGCTCGAAAAGACTACACTTGCTAAAAAGCTTGAGGGCGTCCAAAGAGCTGCTCTCATCGGCATTTCTGATGCAATAGGGACTACACCAACAATAGCACTTAATGCCATTTTAAACATAGCACCCTTTGAATTTGTCGGCAGGTGTATGGCTGCGAACCGTGCTTTAAGGCTCAGGGAAGCTGGGTATATGAAGAGATCCGAACAAGGAATCTCCGAAACTGTCTCCTCCTTTAACTGTATTCCTGAAAACTTGGATCACTGCGTTGCCACTCGTGGCGGCTTTTTCTCTGCTCACATACCGACGAGGGAGATGTAGTTGGGGAGAAGTCACTGGAGGCGAGAAACGGTGAGCTTTTTACGGATGGGGCGAAGGAGCTCTCCGCCAATCTTAGCTTTAGGCTAGAAGATCACTGTAGTATTTCTAGCTAGAGGTGGCTGCTATCATGTCGGCGGTAGACGAACAGCTACAAAGTGCAGCATCTTTCAGAGAGGTAAGCATTCACTCCGAAAGCAGAGTACAAATACTAGTGCTGAGAGCGTTAACCACTGCCAAGGAGTATATATCCTCACTAAAAATATCATCTAGTTGTTTTAATATATATATCCCGGAATCACGTTACCATTGGTGCACTGGATAAGAGAGATACCGAAAGAAAAATCCTCAGTGGGTGCAAGCGCCACTGACGAATGTGGCGTTGAAGGTGATATTTTGCAATCCACGTCCGCCCACATCCTGTTCGGATGCCGGATAATACCAGATCCAAATAAAGATGATAGCTTGTGACGACGAGAGACCGGTCTAGCTATATAAGGCTACAATAACTTAGGTGGGGGTAAGAGAAGGCTTAAAATCTTACCGGACGCTTGTTGTCAAAGTTGTGGAGGGTGAGGTGGGTGAGGTGGAAACACCCAGGCACTTACTCTTCCATTGTTCGGCCTTTGCAAGACTGAGGCTGAGACATCTTGGTAATCTTACCTTCGGCGAACCAGAAGACATAGCCCACACTAATATTAACCGTCTCAACAAATTTGTGATAGGCTCAAAGCGCTTTATCGATCTGTAAGGGTTTTATGGTCCAGGTTTTAGGAGTTTTAGGTACTACAACGGACCGGCGTTCGAAGCTGTCAAAGTAAAATCCTTATTACGATCGACCTCTTAACCTAACCTATCCTAAAACCTGCACAGATAGACAGACATCCGAATTTCAACTCGTCTCGTCATCTTGACAATTTATATATATATACATGATAACTAAATATATATCTCGATTAGTTTTAGGTGGTACAAGCAACCGTTAGCTGAACAAAATTTTTATACTATGTAGCAACATGTTGAGAGTATAAAAAGTGGCGTAGCGGGGCACGCCTAGTACAGCTTGTAATAAACAATAATAAAACAAAGAACCTTAGAGAAAAACTGAAGCGAATACATGTTTAGTAGCAACAGATGACAACATGCAACTGCTGGCGACATACTAACATTAATTTCTGACCGCACTAGCATAAAACGGAAAACGAATTTGTACTTCCATTTCATTCGGTGGCGCTGAAGGCGATTCCGGGTGATGGATAACAGAAAAAACGGCAGCCCAGTAAGAAAACATAAATTTAGTTTTGCGCTAGTTGTTTTATAGCCGGAAAGTTATGGCATGCAAAAATATATGTGTTTATGCAAATTAACTTATCCATAAATTTGTATGAGATGGTGGCAACAGTTGCATATACACCTATAAATTTAATAATATTTCATAATAAAGCTAACGACTTATAACAAAAAGTTAAACCCAAAATTACACTTTCAGCTTTGCCACCTATTGGTCCTTGCTTTTTTTAACTCAGCTTTGTTTTCGAATGTTTGCCCAAAAAAGCTGCAATAAATCCATGTGTACTTCCGTTGCCAACAGTCATGGGAGGTATTTTTCTTTGCATTTGCATAGTGGTCATATTATTATTATTACAATTATATTTGTTGTTCTTATGTGCGATTATAAATATCACATCAACGGCATCCAGTTCTAACTATTTGGCTGCCTTTGCTGTTTTATTGTGAAAAATAACACCAAAAAATTGTTTATTTTTGCACTATCTAAATTTTAAGTAATAGTAATAGCAAGCATTTAAATACTATTTTGAAGCCTTTGACAAACTGGCAAACGGCGAATTTTCGGGTTCTAAGCATAAGCAAAACAAAATTTTTTTCAGGACCAAAATCAGGTGGAATATGCGATGACATAATAACTACTGCTATTTGTAAACCTTAACGATGAATTTAATCTAATATCTACCGTTCCCTTCTAAGATAGAAGCTTTCACATTCCTAATAGTTAATGACGATTACATCCAAAAAAAATTTTATTAAGCGTAGGCGTGCTTGTATCGGCGCAGGGTTCTATGTCAAAGGCGATAATTTCAAATTTGATCAGATGGTACTTAAGCACATATGAATTTATCTTGAAACAGATAGTTCCCCTAATTTTTAAGTACTTACAAACGAACATGTGTAGTATCATTTGTTTATGTAGATTAATTAGGAGAATAAAAATTAAAATTCAGTGCTGCAGAAAAAATATATGTATGTATACGTATTGTTTTACCTCCTTTATGCGTCCCAGTTCAAAGGTCTCGAAATTATTTTATTTTGATTACCGCCAATGGGAAGAAAATTTTATTGTTGAACTCACTTCACAGCTTTGCTCAAATTTTTGCGGCACAATTTTTTTAGCATTTGCCACGGAAAAGAAAAAATAAATAAATATTTATTACCTAGTTTGCACGTTTTTGAAATTTGAATACTAAAATCAATGAAAGAAATTTATTTTTGCTTTCCTTTTTCACATATATTTAAGTTTAATATTGAATTTTTATAAGGAAATTCTTAACTGTGTTAATTTAATTAAGTGGAGAAACATATAATATATTGCGTTGATTTAATTTTTATTATTTGAGATATAATTTATTTTTTATATATATCTTTTAGTCACCGAAATGAAATCGATCATTCCTTAATATGTTTTAATTTATGCCACCGTCGTACATTTTTAAGCAATATATGAACTTTTTTCTTTTGTTAATTAAGTTTATATTATTAATTTTGGTTGCCAGAGGCTCTGCTGAATTCGCAATATTTACTTTTACTGTAATATTTCTGGTTACTGTTTTAGTATCAAAAGTTATAATTCACAATAGAGTAAAACTTATTCAATTATTTTCTTTATTTATTTATTTGTATATTTTGTTATATATATTTATTTGCTTTATACAACACAGAAACTTAATTTTGGCATCGCTTTTGTTACGACAAGCCAAAAAACGGAAAAACTCAAGCGCTTGAAATCTCGCAATAAACTAACTTTGAAATGCCAACAAATTAAGGTAACCGAAGACACGAGCATGTTCGCCAGCTAGTAAATTCAACGTCAGTTCACATATATTACATGTACAATATACAAATATACAAACAGATCAACATACAAATGGAAAAGTAGTGTGTATAACAAGTAAATGGCCCCAGTGAAGTGGTTACTGATGAGCGCCAACGCTCCGCGCACCTGTGTCTTGCGAGCGAGCGCGAATACAAATCTGAGATCTGATCATCAAGAGCGGTGAGCTCAGAGCACAGGCAAACCTAAGTTAATATGGATTGTTATCAAGTATGGTATATATGTAGGTACACATGCATATTGAGTGGAGAGGCTACACCGCAGTGAAGTGGTTTACAATAACTAAAACAATAATAAAAGGGGAAGTTAAGCCACGCGCGATTGACAAGTTCAAGTCTCAATGTCTCAGCGAAAGCAATTACGTTGTGAATGGCATTTGAAAAATAAAACTTAAAAAGGCAATGCAACCAGCAACAACAAAAACAGTTAAGCTTAAACGAAGCTACTAAAAATGAGCGGACGCTGACGGATCAAATAGCGATTGCCACTTCGGCCGCTTAAACAAGCTGTTGCTGCTCTGGCCGGTTTTATCACGCTCCGCTCTGGTTGTTAGCATTGCAATAATTTCGACTCGAAACTACAACATCAACAAGAAAAAACGTTAACTTCGGTTGCACCGAAGCTACAATACCCTTCACAGATACAAATGTTCCCTTCAATAACTTGATTCCAATCTAATTTCGTGAAGATGCCTTGTCAAATAAAAAAGTTTTCCAATGCAGACACTTTACTCCGATCGTTCAGTTAATATGATTGCTATGTGTTATAGCCATCCGATCTGTAAAATTTCTTCGAATATTGCACTATTGCCTCAAATAATAATTTATGCCAAATTTCGTGAAGATACCTCGTCAAATCGTCCGATCGTTCAGTTTGTATGGCAGCTATATGCTATAGTGATCTGATCTATACAATTTCTTCGGAGATTACGTTGTTGAAAATAACTCATGCCAAATTTTGTAAAGATATTACGTCAAATAAAAAAGTTTCCCATACAATGACTTGCTTCCGATTGTTCAGTTTGTATGGCAGCTTTATGCTATAGTGGTCCGATATCGGCCGGTTCGTCAAATGAGCAGCTTCTTAGTGAAAAAAGGACAGGTGTGAGATTTCAGATCGATAGCTTAAAAACTGAGGGACTGCATTTGCATATATACAGACGGACCGAAAGACAGATGGACGTGCCTAAATCAACTCAGCTCATCATGCTGGTTCTCCAACGTTTCCTTCTTGGTGTTACAAACTTCGTGGCAAACTTAATATACCCTGTTCTGTTATATAATTTTTCATATGTAATAAAAAAAAGCTTTAAGAGAAATAATAGTATTTTCGTGAACATTTTGTCCTTTACTGTATATATATAAGGTATATGCGCACAGTCTTCAGAAATTGTGGTGGCGAGAGCAAAACGCGGTCAAGCGCTTTTTAGAGTATAAAAGCCACCACCACAATTTCTGAAGACTGTGCGCATATACCTTATATACATACAGTAAAGGACAAAACTGTTCACGAAAATACTATTATTTCTCTTAAAGCTTTTTTTATTACATATGAAAAATTATAAATATATTCAAAAAGGTATATACAATAATTTGCTTTCGAAACCAATAACTTAATTCAAAAACTTAAACTTACTTAATTAAAATGACTTGCTTGGAGCTTCTCTGGAGCACCTTTGGCGGACGGCCTCCACTCTTTCGTGGTACTTCTCAATCATTTTGTTGTTTTATTTTATTTATTGGTCTAAGAGCAATTTTATATTTTCTAGCGTTTTGTGGGTAAGAAACACAATTTTTTATATTTTCTAGCACGTTTTTCTCCAAAGCAGAATTTAGGGCTTTTTCCTTCATAAGGCAACTAAAGCATTAAAATTAAACTTGAAACTCTATTTTACCTAAGCTCTAACAGCGGACCAAACTGTTCACACGCTCATTCTGTTTCCTTCTATTCAAAGAATTAGTAAAAGTCCAGTAACTTTTAAAAAAAACATTACCAGCTGGTAAATAATGCACCGCTTAAGAATTTACAATAGAAAAATTTCAATATTGATTTCTGAACACTTTTGTTCCTTACTGTATATGCACATATGTAAGTACAATATTATAATATACCATATTTTGTAGATAGGGCAATTCCATGGTACCTTTACCATCGTCGCTTGGTTACAAAAACAATCGTTTTTTTTACTTCCCATATTTACTGTTTTCTGAAATATGTTAGATGATACCTATGCCTGCATTAGTCTCACTATCTTTATTTTCTTCTTTCTCAACAATATACTTACATAGACATACAAATCCAACAACGTACTAGCCATATACGAGGCTCACCGCGCGAGGCAAATAAAGCGACAAATGTACTCATAATTTGCAACAAATACTCGAACTTGTTGGTTTAACCCATTAGTGCTGAAGCTTGTACAAGGCACATTTTAAAAATTTAAGTACTTGTTCGTTTGGATATACTAATTATGAAGATAAATGTTGCTAGTTTTACAAACTTGTCTGAAACTATGAAGCACGTTGTAGACCTTGACCCATGACCAACAGTAAACTTTTGAGAAAACATTCCAATTCTTACGCAAGACACAATACAGGAATATAAAATCACAGACAACCGAGCATTCCTCTATTTAAAAATTTTAACAACAATCAACTTATGAATATGTGGATTGGTAACGCCCACTTACAGTTTGACTAAATTAATTGAATTAATAAAAAAATATACATATGCGGATATAAGTCGACAGACTAAAAGAAAAACAAGTAAGGAAAGGCTCGGTGCGGGCGGAATCGAACATTTAATACTCTCGCAATTTGCAAGGATCAGAGCAGAGGAAATATCTTCGGGGGTTTCCAAAACTTTGTAATCGAAACTATTGCGAAAGAATTCAACATTCATTATTCGACGAAATCGTGAATGAGTTACAATCAGATTCGCCTTTTTATTAAGTTATATGATAGGTCATAGACTCAATTAGTTTTATAACTATATTAGTTTTATAACTATATTTTACTTACTGAGAGAATCAGATGGAATTTAAAGTTGTGTTATATCAGAAGTAGTTGTGGTTGTAGTCCGATTTCGCTCATTTTCACATTGTAACATAGGATCGGAGGATAATGTTAGCTGTCCAATTTGGTTGAAATCGGTAGAGTATTTCCGAAGATATGTAATTTCACTTAAATGTTTGCGCCACGCCCATCGTCCAATTTTGGTACATCATTTAGTTATTGATTTATCGCACTTTTAGTAGCTTTTAACAAAATCGTTAAATAGGGAGTGGGCGGGGTTATCATCCTAATTTCACACTGTCGTAAGAGGTGTTGAAAATAACCCAAATTACTTGTAGCTTGAATATTTTGGGAATATAAACATTTAATGAAGCTAAAACAATTTTGAGCAAATGTCATGCGTAATTTTTTTGCAAACCTTCGTCAAAAAAGATTCCGAAATTTGAGAACTACGAATTGATTGATTCAGTAGTTTCTCCATGGATATTATGCGAATCATTTCCACAAGTAACTTTAAATTTTTTAAGCCTGTTTCCAGCAGACACCTTTCATTAATTAAAGTATATGATTTAAGCATTTTACATTATCAGTTTATAATAAAATTTTTGAAAACTCTCTCTATCATTAATAAATTACAAGAACAGAACGAACCAACATTACCCGAACATCTTAAGAGACATTAACTGATCATGTTTTTGCACGAATATTGCTTTTATGGTATGACACTTCAGTTTTAAAAATAGTCAGAGTCGGACAATAACTACTCAATCCTCCAGAAACCGGAAATGTGGACCCCAGAGTCTATGGCTGACGTTCTACCGAAAATATCGGCCAATGTGTGAAATATATTATTGAAATTAGGAAAGGTCCTTTCTTTATAATTATATGTCTCTATGTCAATAATTGGTTGAATCGGATTGGAGTATTTCGATTAGCCACTTTATATACTCAGCAAAAGAAAAACTCACGCAGTCGAAAATTTTCTAATATTCCATTTTTAAACTGTTACTATTCGCTCAAAATACGCTATTTGTCTGATTTGACTTTTTTATTATATGACTACATTGGTTTAACGTTATTTCTGAAACCGTGTCTACACGTGTTTATTTCAGTATTTGCGGTAATTTCTTTTGAGTCAGAGAAGAATGCAGAAATCATAGCTTTATATAAAAATAAATTATCCAAACGTCATATAGCTCGTGAAATGGACATTAAGTGGTTGGAGTGTGGGCGTCCGTAAAAAGTAAAATCTCGTCATAAACGACAAATTAAACGGATATGCATTACTGATCGCTTTCAACATGCTGGAACAATCAATTCAATATTTAACAAAACTACTGGGGTAAAAATAACTACACAGTCAATTGGATTACGAGCGCGACGTCCAGTCAAAAAGCCACTTCTTATTACTCGAAGGAAGAAACAACGGCTAGAGTGGGCAAAATCATACAAAACTTGGACCGCATCAGACTGGGGAAATGTTAGCGTTTTTAGGAAAATATAAAAATATTGAAATAGATTATTCAATAATTCTTTACAAACACTTACAGGTTACAAACCAAAAATACTTTTATAGAATTGAGTCTCTGACGTGGCCAGGAAACAGTTTATATCTCAATCCAGTTGAGAACTGCTGGCATTATATGGGCAAAGGGATAAGAGAAAAGCGTCGAAAAAGTCTAAAAGAAATGAAAAAAATTATTGAAGCTGTCTGGAATGAAGAAATTAATAAAAGTTATTTTCAACGCTTGATTCATTCCATGCCTAAACGAATAGCCGAGGTTATTAGGAATAGGGGGCGTTCTACAAAATACAAAGAATTTGTTTTTAATAAATAATGTTATTTTGCTTTGCTATGTATTCCTTTTTATATACAAAACATATAAAATATAATAAATTTTTAAAAATTTTATTATTGTTCACAACAAATTTTAGTTCTGTGGTTTGTTATTTCTGTGTGCTTGCATTTTTCACAAAAACAAGTGTTAAATTATAAGTTTATTATATAAAAATGCTTTAAACATAAAGTGAATGAAAAGGCTTGACTCTCAAAAAAAACTGTCTAGTTTAAGATAACATAAACCTAAGTTTTGCGCTATATATAGCCACTCTGTGAAGTGCGTGGGTTTTTTTCGCTGAGTGTATATATACCTAATAGAAAGATTTTCGAACTTCCGGATGACTTTATACCCCATATATCGGCCAATATATGAGTTATCTTAATTAAATTGAGTGAGCGGTTTTTTTTTTCTAACGGAACATCTCTGATGACCTAATATGGATAAAATCGGATGAAAACTTGCACTAGTCCTTATTAAACTAATAAGGATTTTCAGACATCCGGTTGATATATTGTTGATGGTATATGAGGTACGTTAATGAAATTCAGTGAGCATCTGCTTTTGTTATCCATATGTAGTAATGCCAAAAAATAGATAAAATCGAGTCAATACCACACCTATCTCCCATGTACCTAATAAAACTAAAACTTTT